CACTTCATTTTTTTGAGTCGGAATATGACAACTAGAATCGAGTCGGAATTCATGTTCTTTTATCTTTCGAGAATATCGATCCTCGAGCTTACGAGAAGCGAAATGCTGGAAGCACCTTCAATAAACGTGTTTCTTTTTCAATGGTATTAATTTCTTGACGGCTACAGAATTTTGTAGAAATAGCGAAACAAAAACCACGCAATCCAATAGAACCGAAGTACTCATTAAAACAATTTTAACCCGGTTGAACATATCATGAGGAAGAAAAAGATCTAAAACTGGAAGTCCATTACCCATGTTTTCAGCACCTTTAGAAATTATCATTAGGAAAATTTTGCATACAAAGAATAGTAAGTTTTTCTGCTAGGAATTTCGAGAATTAATGAGATTCCTTAAATAAAAATCCAAAACACATACTTGAACATCTATTTGTGATTCATCATCAATACTTGATAATGAACGTTCAGAATCAATTGTACGTAAAGCTTCTTCAGCTAATGATGCATTATTAGGATCAACTGAAAAAGAAGAAAAAAGAAAATTATCTTCTTTATTGAGAATTAAATTTTCTTCGCTATTACTAAGATGATCTTTTAAATGTAAGCGTAATTGTTCAATATTATTAAATTGTTTTTGGCATATTGAACAAGATTTTGATTTAATTGAAGAATTATCATCTGTTATACGATGAACATTCATATGTGTTTTAAGATTTCCTTTAGTAGAGAATGCTCGGGAACATATTCGACATCGAAAAGGACGTTCGCCTGTATGAGTACGATAGTGCATTTTAAGTGCACTTTGACATGAAAGTATACGTTTACAAACAACACATTCATTTGAATCACTTTTATTTGTTGTTCGTTCAAGTTTTTCAATCATATCTTTTAATTTCGCCATATTTGGATCTTCAGGTTCACCTTCATGTTCTTCCATTTGAAATTGTATTGATGATGGTATTTGTTGTTCTTCATCCGATTTAATTGATGTTGATGATAAATGATCACTAGTTGATAAATCAAGTGGTGATGTTGCAGATCTTTCATCTTCTTCAGTTTGAATTATTAAACCACCTTTATTTTCATCTTCGTCTTCTTCATCATCATCATCATCTTCTTCTTCTGCTTCTTCTTCTTCTTCTTCTTCTTCGATATTTTCGTCTTGATGGTCATGGTCAATTTGTACTGATGATATTACTTTTGGTAATTTATCACGATGTTGTTCAATATGAAGTTTTAAATTTGATTGAGAAGAAAAATTATGACCACATATATTACATGAATATGTTTGTTGTGTTTCAACATTTTCTATATATTGATAAAATAAAAAAACTAATCAAGGTTTTTTGTTTCTTTTGTTTATACCTTCATTTTCAACATGATTTTGTTTTTGTTGATAAACTTTTAATTGTTGTTGAAATTGTTTTATCATTAATGTTTGAAGACGTTGTTGTTCTTGTATAGCTGCTAATTGAATTTTTAATTGATATAGCTCGGGATCAATATTTTCTCCTGTTGGATGATTTTTATTAATATCATGTAATGTTTGCATTCGAGTTTCATTTGTATGAGACATTCTTTTCAAAAAGAAAGCAAAAAAAAAGAAATAAACAATAATTATTTGGTACATTTATTTTATTCTACTTATTATGATTAATTTTATAATAATTATTAAAATATCATCGGTCCAAAGAGAAAGGAAATATGATATGAAAAAAAAACGAAGACTACGATGAAAATGAAATGAATTAAAACTAAATAGAGACGCGCGATTATTGTTTATTAGACGGCCGTCTACTGCTAGAAGAAAACAGCTGATCTCTTTTTTCTTCTCTATAGAGATATATTACATATTTATATATATAGATATAAAATCTATTTATATCTATATATATATATAAAGTTATATCGATCTAACACGCACATGGTAAACAAACGAGGACAATAAATAAATTTTATTTCAATCAGCTGAATATGTCAATTTAATTTAAACATTTTCTAATATTTTCTCCAGTTGAATACTTACATATACATACTGATCAGAATAAATGTTTGTATAGCGTCTCGGTTACATTATCTATATATGTATATATATATATGCACCCAAATCTATCTATCTTATTCCTAATGCATGAATTATATTCAATAAAAACATTGTTGGCTCTTTTTCTTTTTTATATCAATGTTCTCTATCGATGCACATATTATTTTGATTGCGTGTTTCGCCTTCTAGAACGAGCATATAAACGGACGGGCGCAAAGAAACAATAATATCTATGAATATAAGCCAACAATCGTTTTTTCTTCTTCTTCTCTGTCTCAAACACCCAATCCAACAACGCAAGCAAGTTTGTTTTCGATTAAAATATCGATACACAAACGTACCTCGGTCCGCTTAATAATAATAAAAGCAATGGAAAGAAGAAGCAACAGCAAAAGGAAAGAAAAAAAATGAGGAAGATTAATCAACATATAAAATAGATAATAGCAGTCTAATATCTGCTAATGCTGTGCAATGCTACAAATACATACACGTACTCAGACTAAGAGAGTTTACTCGTATATAATCATCGAACACCAAAAAAAGAAGAAAAAAAAAAAGAAAGTCGTTTACAGCCATATGCCTACTATTCCAATCGAGCGAATTTATGAAAGCAAATATGAGCATACTCTTCATACATACAGACATTTATGATTATGGTATTGCAATGAGATGACAACAACGTCGATAGAGAGAAAGATATATAATTCTTCATCATAATAATAAGAGAAAGAAAGATATAGACAAGCAGAGAAACTCATAAAAACATATAAATCAGTTAAAAGAGATGACAGATAATCGATTTATTCTTATTTATTAAACGATAGAAATATATTTCTCATTTCCATAAAAAAAAATTCTTTCGATTTCCTGTAAACAAAAGATATTACCAATGAAAATATTAGTACAAAATTAATATGCATAACTATTACTTAAAAAAAATATTTTCATATATTTTATGATTGGAATTTTTTTTTCTCGAGTAAATATATGATATCACTTAATCGGATAAAGGAATTAATAAAATTTTATTGTGAAATATATCAACACAACAGAAAAAAAAAAAATCTTTCAATTTATTATCTCTTACCTTTATATTCTTCTTAATATTAAAATAAAAATGTCGTGCTTCTGTATGTTATACTAAACTATGACTATTCACAATAATATTACAATCATCAAACATATAGTTATTGTTCTCCTAGACGCAGCAAATGCACACGCGAACTATAATCCATGAATAGTGTATGCATGCACAAACGCTAATAATGTTGATACAAGGCTTTATGAATCGATATATACATACACACGTCGTAGCAAAATTGTATTTATATTTTAGTATGATATCTGTTAGAATATCTCTATAAATGTCATCACTATCTTACCTTCTTTATGTGAAAAACTAAAATCAATTTTTTTTCTTCTTCTTATTCTTCTTTACGAATATACAAATGTTAAGTAATTATGTTGAACATACGATAAAAAAAAGAAGAGGGAGGAGGAGTAGGAGGAGAAGAAGAAGAAGACTCATCATCATCAAATACTAAAATGAGGGATAAATGAAGTAAAATGCTCAGTAGATCTACCGAAAAGATTAACATGCTTGTGCACATTGTTTGATAAAGAGAAGAAAAAAAAATTCTCTTTTTTCTTTTTTTCTTTTTTTTTGCTTGTTAGAAATGCACGTTCTCTCATTTTATATGTTAACAAGCGTTTGTAACGATCATCTTAATCATGATCATTTGTACAAATTTCTAATTATATTTTACTGATGACTTTGTCCATATGTTGCCGTTTCGTACATAGGAAACAGCATGAGCTTCTGTCTTTTTTTTCTCGAATACATACCCTGATGTGAAAAAAATTCTCTTCTAGAAATAAAAAAGAAAAAAGAAGTAATAATCTATTCTCTATCGTATTTGCTCGATGGTCAGCAATTTTTTTTCTTTCCTTTTTCATCGGTCATCTGTGAATCTGTTGTTGCTTCTCACATACATATATATATATATATGTATATATATATTTTTTTTTTAATATTTAAACAAGAAAGCAACGAACAGATGTCGATATGTCCAAGAAGATGACGACCGGTCAATGCCGCTTTCATTTCTATATAAATATATATATATATATAAGATATATATTTATGCGCATAAATCTAATTATAAATAGAGAGATGAGATTTGAAAACACATATATATATATATATATTCAATAATATGATCTTCAATGCATATACTATTCATTTTATATTGTGTACGTCTATTTCATCATATATTGACATTCGCCTTTTCTGCTGTTTTTTCTTTTTTATTTACCGATGGCCTTTGGACGAAGTATAGAAAGAAAAAAGATTAATTAGAATAAAGATAGAGATTAATATTTGCGCGTGCTTGCCTCTACTTTGACAAATCATAATTCATGTTTAATTCAATAAAGGTCAATGCTTTCTGTATATTTAAATGAAATGCAAAATAGCTAAATGAAGTCGAGATCATTTAATCGTTCCGTAAAGTAAAAAGAAAAAATAACGACGAATATATGTTAAAATTTGCAATTTCGTTCTGTTGTATTGATAATTAATGTACTGAAAAATGTTGATTGATTTATTCATAATACACTTGATATTGTTTACTTTGAATGATTAATATTGTCTACTTGGTTTCTGTTCGTACGAAAACAGTGTCACTATTGCGTATTTTTTTTTTCGACCTTGAATGAATATGCTTATTAATTGTCGCATTTCATATGTATGACGCAACAATTATTCATCGATTGTCAAAACGTTGCTCTACTTATTCTCCTTGTTTTCAGCGTCAAAATAATTGAGTAAACAGAAAGAAAAAAAAAGAAATTTGAGTACACTATAAAATATTTTACACTCAATTCTTTTTGTTTTTGTTTTTGTCTTTATTCTCTATTTTATTGCATTGCGTATAGCACATAGAAAACAGGTTTTAATGACAGCAACACAAAATGATATACAACGATTGATTGAATGTTGTATTTGTTGTGATTATCTTACCGAAGTACGTGAAACACCTTGTTGTCACCAATTATTTTGTTATGCATGTATTTTATCATGGCTTCAAACATCAACAAAAAATTGTCCACGTTGTCGATCAACCACGCTTACGGAACAAACTTTAACAAAAAATTTTGTTATTCAACGTTTTGTTGATAATCTTGAATTTGATTGTCCATATAAATTACAAGGTTGTCCAGCTAAAGTACCACGATCTGATTTAATAAAACATAAACAATTATGTCAATATTCACCAGAAAAACTTGCTCATAAAAATCGAGAAAAATTAGAAGAATTACAAGCTTTATTAGCAAAATATAAAACAAGAAAAGGTAATGTTACTGATAATGCTATACTTGATTTGGCAAAATCATTTTATACTGAACATGAATATCAACAGGCAAGAGAGTGTTTACAATTGGTCAAGGATGAGAAAAACTTACCTGAAATGGTAATGCTTCAAGCACAAATCGAACGAGATGATAGTCATTATGATCAAGCATTAGAATTATATACAAAAGCTTATTCTATAGCAAAATCTAATCTTGAACGTACTGAATTACTTTTAGCCAAAGGACATTTATATATTAAAATAGCTCAATATGGACATGCAAAGGATACATTCAAACAAGCACTTGATCTTTTAGATGCCGAAGACCATCCACAAAGAAAAGCTGAAATTTTGAATGCTTTTGGACTTGTTGCTAAAAAATGCTCAGAAGTAGGAATAACTCCTTTATTTTTTCTTCAAAATTTTATTGACTTTCATATTTTGTTTTTGTCTCATTTAAAGTATGATCAAGCTATTTCAGCATATAATAATGCACTTGAAATAGTTGATACGAATTCAGATGTTTGGTCGGAGATCATATCTAATCTTGCTGGTAAATATTCTGTTTTTTTCGTTCTCTTTTTTTTTATTTTTATTTTGTTGGCTTATTTTAAACATGTAGACATCCATCGAAAGAAAGCTAATTATGATGAAGCAAGAGATCTTTATTTAAAATCTCTTAAACAAATGGAATCTCTTTATGGACAAAATCATCCATCAATAGCTGATATTATGAATAATCTTGGTATGTTACTTAAAAAAGAAGGAAAATATAATGAAGCATTAGATTATCTTAAACAAGCAATAAAAATTTCTAAACATTATTATGGAGAAGAACATCCAAGTATTGGAATATATCTTACAAATGTTGGTGATATTTATCGAAAAGTATTTGAATTTCTTTTTCTCGAAAATCATTCGAATTGATTTATTACATATATATTTTTTTTTCTAGCAAGGTGATTTTAAAACAGCTGAAGGAACTTATAAAGAAGCATTAACATCATTAGAAAAATCATTTGGACCAAATCATATTGAAGTAGCTGAAGTTCTTAATTCAATGGGTTTAGTTTTAAAAAAACGTGCTGATTATGATGGAGCCGAAAATCATTATAATCGTGCTATTCAAATTGTACATGATACATTTGGTCATGATCAAGAACATTATAAATTAGGTATTTATTATAATAATTTAGCTGATTTATATCGTAAACGTACTCAATTTGATACTGCATTACAACTTTATCAACGTGCATTAAGTTCTATTGAAAAAACACTTGGTCCACAACATTCTGAAGCAGCAGAAATTTTGCATAATATGGGACAAGTTCAACATCAACTTGGTTTGTTTTTCTAGTTTTATATTAAGTGATTATTTACTGGATTTTGTTTCTTTTCTTTGATTTTAGAAAATTATAAAGAAGCTATTGATTATATAAATCGAGCTTTAATTATTATAAAAAAAGAATTCGGTGATAAACATTATAAATATGGAATGTTTCTTAATTCTCTTGGTCTTGCATATGCAATGACAAATGATTATACAACAGCTTATGTACATATGAAACAAGCCTTACAAATTCTTTTAACAACATTAGGTACTAATCATATTGAAGTTTGTGATGTTTATTCAAATCTTGGTGATGTTTGTATGAAACTTGTTGCTGAATATGATCATGGAAAATCAAAAAATCGAAAACAAAATGATAAACAATCGAAATTAGATGAAGCAAAAAAATATTATACAGAAGCACAACGTATTGTTCAAGCAACATTTGGTACTGAACATACAAAATCAAAACAATTTCTTTCTCTTCTATTTATTGTTGATAATTATAATTCATTATAATGAATCTCTTTTGGTCTATTTCTTATGATAAATCATCGTCGTCAGTATTAAATAAACTCTATTTTGTATTTGCAATGTGTTGAAAAGCTATTTTTTATATTTCGTTTGTATTCGAGTTTCTTCACTAAAATTACAAATATATACATGAATATATATATATAATACATGTCTAAAAAAACGTTGTATAAATCTATCGAATAGTTTTCAATAGGAAATATTTAGATATGATTTTGATTACTTAGTAAAAAAAAAATCTCGTTCATCCGAATCATCGATAAGAAATAAATATATGTTGTGAATTTATAATAAGTAATGTCATTGTTAACGTCTTGTGATTATATGAATCATTACTATTGATAAACGCTTGAGTCACTTTTCAGAAACGATCAGAATATTCATGTAAATGTGCTGAAAAATAATATATTTAGTACTTTTCTTGTTTTTTTTCTCTTATTTGCATGAATTATATGTTCATATGAAAAAGTCCTCGAGGAAAGTGAACAACTTAAAATAAAAGACAAAAAGCTGGTGATAATTGATATATCATTATTGAAACATAATAAAATGTCATATTTTTGTCAAATGATTACCATCAACATATTGTTTTTGGCATGCCAGAAAGAGCAATATAACTTCATTGAAAGAATATCATGCCCTTTTTCCAGGTCAATGAAAACCATAACAAATAATATAAACTTATTAGATCATTTATTTTTTGTATTTACCATATTGATTTTTAATATATGTCATCAATATCATTAAATAACGAATAATGCATATTCTTGAGTATATAGAATTGATATACAAATTAATTTTCTTTTATTATCTATATTTTCAATTCGTATTCGAATGTCTTCAACAAGAAACTAAGCTAAACATTCTTTATAATATTTCATTCACATTCGTTTACCATGTGCATTGTTTCAATGAGCAATACAACGATCAAACATACAATGATGAACTAACTGATCAATAGTACGAATTTACCAATCATGAAATTCAACTTTACGAGTTCTATTTGACATTGCATAAGCAATAAACGATATCTGATCAGAATTAGTATCTGAAACTAATCAAAAATATAGAACTATTTAATCAACAATCAGATATTTCTGTTGCACTAAGATCATTCAATCGATAACATTGTTTTGGACTAATGGCAATGATCAAATTGAAGTCTTTTTCTTGATGATATATTTGAAATCTATAGCTAAGAGTACACAATTGATTTTCTATATTCTGATAAACATAAATCACTTTTGACGACCTTCTATTTAATTCCATGAATTAATTAATAGTTATATTAATTCTCAAGTATCTAAAAAAATTCTTTCTTTATCATTCAATGATACGAAGACGTTTTATTTTTAACATAATCATCATTCCTAATCTTATTTCTCAATATTTCGTAAATTTTACTTCTCAACTTGAACTATACGAAGAAAATAATCAGGAAGTATTGATCAATTATTTATGATTATAATAAAAACAAAAAACAAATATAACAACTAGATAGACTATTCAAATAACACCGATTATAAAATAACTAAAAATTGTATCAAAACATTTTCTTTCTATACTAACAATAAATATAAAGAACATTCTAAGCATGTTACTGAATATTTATTTGTTCTCTAATCTTAATTAAAAAACATGAAATTAAAATCGTGGTTTAAAAAAATATGGTCTTGTTGTAGATGTGGATGTTCTTGTAATTAGACTCATTTTTTCAAGCCAATCTAAACGTATATGAGGCCTTGTTGTTGGTCGTTGATAAAGAGTCATTATTGTTGTAGTATTCCAAAGTGGATAATCCATTCTCTGAATTGGTCGACGAATACTATTTGGAACAAATACTCTTAAAAAACAAGCCAATAATGAATACAATATAAAGATAATTATACGCCAGATATTCATTTTATTGAAACGATATGAGATGATTTGCGAGAGAAAGCGAATAAAAAAAAATGAATGAAGAAGAATTTTGTACAATATACATGCCAAGGTAAAGACGTATCAACACATTTTTGTTAAGAAAATGTCAAGGTATCACGTGTTCAAATATATCTATCTATCTATATATATTGATTTCGAATTCCTTTTATGTCTTTTCGGTAATATAACTTTTATCTTCTTTATATTGAATAGATATGTCCCAAATGTTTAATGATGATTCTTTTTTTATTTTTCGGATATAAAAAATTTTACAAATACAAATATAAGGTCTATTTTATAACATATTTTTAAAGTTTGTCTTTAATTAATAACAGAATTAAATTAATACCAACTATTATGAATAAAGCCGGTAGTATACGTTCAGTATTAGATACACATATTGCTCGTGTTTGACCAACTGTATTTCGTGGTGGACAACGATTAATATACCAATCAATACAATGACTTTGTGTGCATGTAGTCGCTTCTGAACAATACCATAAAGGGCGAGCGCCAATTCGTGTAGGGTTACAATTTAATGATGTACAGCATTCGCATACACAATCATTACCATTTGTTTGTTGTAGTTTAAATGATATAATAAGTAGAAAAAATGGAAGAGTAATTAAGACACGCATTTTTATCGAAATGTTAAATGATGAGAAGAAATCAAAGAAATCGTCGATATTTATATATATATGTGATTTTGAAAATTTGGTATGATTCCCTTAACGTCTTGCTTCTTATTGCAATTTGATTCCACGTCACATTTCAAGGCAATATTTAGTTGATGTTGAATGACAATGACAAACATGTTTTCGCATTGTACCGAGGACAAAAGACTCGGAAGAAGTAATCATCATGGAGGAGTCTTAAACTATCATTACATACGTGGGATAGAGTATACTCAATTTTTTTAGGCTAATAGACAAATAGTAAATATATAAATAAAAAGAATAAATAGAAAAAAAATCTTTCAATTTTAATTGAATTTACAATATATATTCAATATTATATTAATACTCTTCAAAGGTGAATAATTAATAATTTTTATTTGAAAATTGTTCATTTTTTCTAATGATTATGATTATCATAAATAAAAAAAATTTATCTATTTAAAATTATAAATTTAATAGCGTAGTATTTTTTGTTGTCTTTATCTTGTGAACAAATATGAAACGAGTCATACTTATTAACTAGTCAATATGAAAATCAAATGCCTATTGAAATAATAAAGACCTTTTTAACCTTGATTCTTCATATTAAAAAACCTATACAACACTATATCATATTACACTTAAAAGTTTATTATTGGACTTTTCGTTCTGTTGTGTTATTTTTAAGAGAAAGAATAAACTCAATAAAAAAACGTATTAGTTTAATCTCGTTTTCAATAATAAGAAGTATGATTACACATAAACAAATAGATTAATCTGTGTAGATATAGGTAAAAAGATATAGGTAAAATCAAACGAAAGAAAACCTCTCATCTTATAAGAATTGAACATTGATATTACTTAAAATAGTGGAATATTACGTTAGACATTTAAAATATAATAAATCTTTTCGACATTAGTCTAAAGACGATTATTGTAGATATCGATATATTAATTATTTAAAAGTTCTTTTTGAATGAAAGAAGCAATAGACAAACCTGAAGATGTTCTTCTAACGGTTACAGTTTTATAGAGACGCTAGTCTTTACATTTTTTGTACCTATTTCTATTTTACATATACCATATTTTTGTCTCTCTCTCTCTGATCATACAACTTTTAAATTATCAAACGAGTATAAACTTTGATGAATTAAACATTCTTCAAATGACAGTTTTTCAATATATAGGAAATGAATGATAATTTAATTTATTCTACGCCTGATATAGAACAAGACAATAGTAAGAAGTTCAACAATGATAATAAATGCTTTAAAAATCGTATCATGTTTCAGTAGTAATAAACAATAAATTCTGATCGCAAGTTCTAGCCTGCTTTCGATCGGTTAACATTTACTGGAGTGACGATTCAAAAGGCATCTTTCTCATGTGATCACTTTATGCCAAACATGTTGCCACGAACATTTTCGTTCAATTTCTCATTCGAAAGATCAATACCGTAGCTATCTCTAGTTCGAATTTCGTTAGAAACTAGTTTAAAATAATCAGTGAGAGTTTTACAGCCACTGTATTGATTGAATGAAATCAAGTTTGTGCTACGACATGAGTTCACTATATCGGAGTGTTACAGTGTGTTCTACTGTAACGTATACCTCGATTCTATCTATTCTCTTTTCTTTTGTCTTTTCGTTTTCCTCTATTTTCTTGTCTTTGTTTTCGCGTGCTTATATAAACGTTTGTTTTCTAACAGAATAAACAGAGAGAATAAAACACACANTTCTACTGTAACGTATACCTCGATTCTATCTATTCTCTTTTCTTTTGTCTTTTCGTTTTCCTCTATTTTCTTGTCTTTGTTTTCGCGTGCTTATATAAACGTTTGTTTTCTAACAGAATAAACAGAGAGAATAAAACACACACACACACGTTAACTGTGTTCGTCGCTCTTTGTGAGCGAGAACGCTAACACGGAGCATGCTAATTACTATGATCTCGATTATATGTTATAGACTTTGGTAATATTAAAGTAGACATATGAGACTGTCTTCAGCGCTAGAAAATATATATGAGTAGTTTATAGAATAGCAAAATGACAAACAATAACTTTTCCAGTACATATTTCCGTTGAATATGTTGTTCACAAGGAAAAGAAGGTATGTGAATCGACCGAGGATAGGTCGGCACTTGCAATCAGAGCTTATTGTCGCACGTATACGCCCAAAATATCCAGCAGTGTCCAAGTTCCCAGGAGTCGGGAACTCAATAGGAACTCAATTCTGAATTGGAAACTCAAAGGGTGTGGGTGTAGGTAGGATCCTCAAGTCAAATTTTCTTTTTTGCGAAAATTTTTTTTTCATGCAGAAATGGACTTGTTGAGAAAAAATAAATTTTTTGTAAAACACCCCAAAATTTTGTTGTAAAAAGTTTTTTTACAACAAAAAAGTCTATTTCTGCATAAAAGAATTTTTTTTTTAAATAGTACTTGAGGACCCCACCTACACCCACACCCACACCTTTTGAGTTCACAATTCCCATTGAGTTCCCATTGACTCGCCAACTCCTGGGAACTTGGCCAGGTCTCAACACTCTATAGAATAGCTTCTCATTCATTTATATCTCACATAGAATTTGTGTTCTGTCCTTTCGTCATAAAGTGACAACTACAGTAACGAAACATTGCTATTCGTAGCTGTCTCTTCATTGTCCAATCACTTGTTTTTGCCACACGTCAAGCTTTTCTATTCAATATTTTGTGTTGAAAAATCAAAAAAAAAAAACAATAGTATCTCTTATTAATATCTGTTCTTATTATAAAAAAGCTAAGATAAAAAAGAAATGCTTAATTCAATACTAGATGATTTTTCGAAAACATCAAAATCTCGTCCACTCGGTGATGTTTTACATATATTTATTTTACTTCTAATAAGTAAAATTTTAAAAACATTAGCATTATTTATAACTTATGATTTATTAAAATCATATCATTTTATATTAGTTCTTTTTCTTATTTCATTAATTGCTTCAATTTGTTTATTATTTATACAAAAACCATTTTCATCAATTCGATTAAATAAAACCATACTATTTCGTTTAATTAAATATACAATATGTCTTACAATAGTTCGTGTTTTATGGATATTTGGTTTAACATTATGCGGACCATTAAGAACAATATTATTATTTGAACATAGTGATCTTGTTATACTTGCATGTTTTCATGCATTATTTTCATCATCAAATGGAATTGGTGTACAACAGCAAGGACAAACATCAAGAATACGTGGTGTTGTTTTTTTTCTTTTAGCTGTTTTAGCAATATTTGCATTTGATAATGATGATGCAAGACAACGAGTATGATATTTGAAAATAAATTTATTTATTTTTCTCTATATTTGGTTTTTTTGTCTTAATTTAGATATTAGATCATCCTGAAGGTCATTCACATCATCGTTTTTTTGCGCATGTTTTTTATCAGTTAACATCATTTATTGGTGTTGGTGATCATAAAGGTGGTGTAATTCTATTGCTGATTGCCTTATTTATAAGATGTACAATTGATTCATTAAATAAAAAATTAGTACATGATGCTGGTGGACCAAAAAAATTCTATGCTCTAACAACATGTCTATCAACAGCATGCCTTATACCTACAGCATTTATTATGTTATTAATTAATAATATTTTTGTAAGAAAAATTATTTCATTTAAAAAAAAAATTATTTCTCTTTTTTTAAATTTTAGCCAGATTCAATAGATTCAATTCGTTCAACATATGAAACGACATTACCATCATCAGCATCATCTTCATTTTTTGGTACTATTGTATCATTAATTATTCCATTAATTGTTATCAGTATATTATTATTTGTTTCTGATTTCTATATTGAACAAATAGCTGTTGTTAAACTTGAACGATTACGAACATTTCGATATGGTACATTTACTATGATTGGTGGTGCACTTATTGCATCTTTTCTTTGGGTAAAATCGGCAACAGTTATAAATAATAATTCAGTATGGCTTGGTGGAAATGTTGGAAAATTTCAACCAGAAGAACATGCATTATCTGGTGGTGTTGTATTTTCTATTGTTATGTTTATTTTTGCAACAGATCTTTTATTAAGTCCAATTAAACAACGATCAGGTGCTTTCATTGGTTATAGTCAAGATGGTGTACCATTATTTAATTTAACACATCAACGATCACAATCATTATTACTTATTTTACGATCAAGTTTGAGAGATGTTCTTGCTGAATCGGATTCAAGAAAAATTTTTTATTTTCTTTGTATTAATCTTGTAAGTAAAGTGATACAAATTACAAAAGATTATAATAAAAAAAATTGTTTTGTTTTTAAATTTATAATAGATGTTTACATTTGTTGAACTTTTGTATGGAGCTTGGACGAATTCACTTGGTTTAATTAGTGATGGTTTTCATATGTTATTTGATTGTACAGCACTTGTTGTTGGTCTTTATGCAGCTCTTATGTCTCGTTGGAAACCTACAAGAGTATTTTCATATGGATATGGTCGTGTTGAAGTTCTATCGGGTTTTGTTAATGGTTTATTTCTTGTTGTTGTAGCTTTTTTTGTCTTCTATGAAGCAATGGGTCGTATTTTTGAACCTCCAGAAATTGATACAAATCGTTTATTAGCTGTTTCTGTCGCTGGATTTGCTGTTAATATGATTGGTATTTTTTCATTCAGTCATGCACATGCACATGCTCATGGCGGTGGTGGTGGTAGTTGTTCAATGAGTCAACCAAGTGTAGCTAAAGATCAACATAATCATGATCATTCTCATTCACATTCCCACTCTCATGGTGGTGGAAGTCATGATGATGACCATGATCATGGACATTCACATGGCTCAACTGAAAAATCAAGCCATCATGGACATAGTCATTCACTTACGGATAATGCTAATATGAAAGGTAATTTTAGTTAATTTAAATTAGAGATTCTGTTATTTCATTGAAAAACATATATCGATACATAATTGTTAATATCATCTGTAGTCA